GGCCGGGGCAGGAGTATAGCCTGAGCATTTCCAGGTGTAGCCCGAAAACAAAAGAAAAAAAAAAGAAAAGAAAAACCTCGGATAGATCCTTTAAAGTCCTGCCCCCTAATTTCTATAACTAGGATTGAGAATTTTTTTTCTGCTTTGTTGGGTCACATCCGGCAATGCTCAGGGGTTACTCCTGGCTCTGTACTCAGGATTACTCCTAGCAGTACTTGGGGGACCATATGGGATGCTGGAGATTGAACCCAGGTCAGCCGAGTGCAAGGCAATTAATTGCCTTAATAGCACAGCAGGTAGGGCGTTCGCCTTACAAGCGGCCAACATGGCCGACCCGAGTTCGATTCCTCCGCCCCTCTCGGAGAGCCCAGCAAGCTACCGAGAGTATTCGATATGCCAGACACAGTAACAACAAAGTCTCCAATGGAGACGTTACTGGGCCCGCTCGAGCAAATCGACGATCAACGGGAGGGCCTTTACCTTTACCTTTACTGTACTGGCCCCAGGACTCAGAATATTTTTGAGACAATTCAAAGTGATTCCACTTAAATGGTGATAAGGGTCAGAGTTACAGTATAGTAGGTAAGGCACAAGAACTGGGTTAGATCCCTGGTTCCACATATGGTCCCCTGAACCTATAGAAGTGATCCCTGAGCACAGACCTAGGAGTAAGCCCCAAGCATTGTTGGGTGTAGCTCCCCATCCCATACTCCGCCCCCTCTCCCCCCAAAAGTGATCTACCAAGTCATATCAAATAGGTATTTTGGACAGATCTACTTTCAGATACCTGTCCATAGGCCACCAGCCTTCCTCAGCTGCATGAGGAGGAATCCAATGGTCCAATGCTCAGCCATAGTCTTTTCCCTTCACTTCTAGTCCATGAGCAGGGTCCCAAGATCCCCATATTCCCTTTGCACTCCAGGGCCCGCGTGCGCGCCCTCAGGGGGCAGACCCTACCGTGGTGTGTGCCCTTAAGACCAAGGGAGACCAAGAGCAGGACAGCTATTTTCAGGGAGGGAGGAGAAAGGAACAGATGAAGCTTGAAAGGTTGGATCAGGGCCTGGTGTGGCTGCATCGAGGGTGTCAGGTTGCCTGTCTAGATGCAGGGCTCCTGGGAATCCTGGGAATTCTAAACGGAAATCTGAGTTTCACGGGGCTGCCTGGCATTCTTGCTAAGCAAAAAGGTCAATTCTTTCTTATTTGACAGTTTGTTGCCTTGATTTGGAGCTTCTAAATATTTATACATACCCACATGTGTTTGGTTTGTATTCTGGTACCAGGTTGAGTAGATAAAGAATAACTGGAGTCACAACACAGAAAAACCCTAATTATTTCCCCCACAAACCGAGGGGGGAAGAATCAAGAAAGAGGAAAGACAGTTGATTTCTGCTCTAAATCTATTCAATTGTGACCTTGCCTCAGCTGCGTTACTGAGGAAAGGGTGAAAGACATAGCATTGGAAGGAAGTCTCTTGCCTGGCATGAGACCCATCCTGGGTTGAATTCCCAATACCACATATGATCCGCCCAAGAATGCCCAGGGGTCACTCCTAAGTAAAGAGCCAGGAGTCGCCCTGGGCACTGCTGGGCATATTCTCCCCACACCCTCCCCACCCCTAAAAAAAAGGGAGAAAAGAAAAATATGGAGAGGAATATTCAAGGAAAGAAAATGTTTTTCTTCTCCAAATTATGGTGTGTGAAATCTTTTTTTTAACCATATTACTTTTTACTTTTGTAGCCCAAAGAAATGATTATTTTTTAAAAAAATGTAAACAGCAGCTTGAAGAGGTTTTCACTGGCCAAATCTTGGACCATAGTAAGAGTAATAGCTTATAATCCACTGAATAAAATATGAATCCACACTGATAAATAGGTAAGGAAACTGAATCCACACTGCATATGCCAACACAGGAAAAGTAAAAGCTCCTTTATATAGCAGAAAACAAATAAAATGCAGGTGGAATTAGAAAAGCAATTGCTTTGCAAATATCATTGTAATGTCCAGGCAAGAATCATCAGTGGAGGGTCAAACTGGTAGGTAAAAGTTTAATGAGGAACAGCATATTCACATAACCCTGTGGTATATCTTGAAAAAGCATTCAAAGGAACAACCTAGAGGGCCATTGATAGAGAACAGGGGTTTGGGCACTTGTATTGAACATGGCAGACCCTAAGCACAGAGCTAGGAGTAAGCTCTGAGTACTGCTGGTTTGGTCCCCAAACCAAAGAACAACAAAGGGAAAACTTTCTATGAGTAACTTCACAGCAGAGACTGCTGGCAGGCCAGGTGATCAAGGCTAACTGACCCACGTGCCTCCCAATAGGAGGAACCCAAAAGTTAACACCACATCCCTGGAGACCAACTCTGCACACATTGAACCTGCTTCTGAGGAAATACTGAACCAAACCCAATGAAAAGCCATTCTGTAAGCCGCTGGTCTGTAATACCCACAGGTGTAAAGGTTATAAAAGACAAAAACCTTTACTTTGGCTCCTCTCATCCTCCTTTTTCGAATCTGCCAGAGTCCACAAGGCCTTAGCCAACTTTTCTCTAACCTTCCTAGACAGTGGGACAATTTCAACATAGGAAAAAAGTTCCAACACGAGGAAACCAAGCAGACTTTGGGTGTAATATTAAAGTCTTCCCCCCAAACAAAGATGGAAAAAATTATAAAACACCCTTTACATATTGTATACAAACTTTTATACATGTTCCTCCACTTTGGTTTTTCTATTATCATCATCAAAAGCTTTACGTACCATACTGACAAGACAGTTCCACCACTTTTGGCATGTCTGATCATTTCCCCAAGCTCAGTTTCATTAAAATAGAGGATGAGAGTTGGAGAGATAATACAGGGATTAAGGCACTTTTCTTGTATGAGACTAACCCTGGTTCTATCCCTAGAATCTCATATGGTACCCTAACCACCACCAATAATTACTCCTGAGCATAGAGCTAGTAGTAAGCACTGAATATCACTGGTGTAGCCCAAAAGCATACAGACAAAAAAGAATATCTCAACTTCCTATTGCTGATACTGATACTGATACTTCTAATTTTCTGTCTCATCATGTTTCTTATATAAAAATGAAAACTGATTGGGGCTGGAGCAATAGCACAGCAGGTAGGGTGTTTGCCATGAAAGCGGTCGACCAGGGTTCGATTCCCAGCATCCCATATAGTCCTCTGAGCACCGCCAGGGGTAATTTCTGAGTGCAGAGCCAGGAGTAACCCCTGTGCATCGCCAGGTGTGACCCCAAAAAAAAGCCAAAAAAAAAAAAAGAAAAGAAAACATGACCCAGCATATAATACTGCCACCTAGAAAGCATAGGATTGTGGCTGAAACTTAAATATTGGCTGACAGGCAACCCCATCATGGGATGATTCAAACGGCCCTTTGTCAATCCTTGTTCAAATTTCACAAACAACCAATGGTCATGGGCCAGTGAACCAGACATCAGAGAGCAGGAGTTATGAAACTTGAACTTACATAAGAGAAACATAAATTGCTAAGAGGTCAAAGTAGCAGCAGTTAGAAAGTTACAAAATACCTCCTGGTGCTCCTACCATCAGCCTGATTGACTGCCCTCTCCAGGGCTGCCAATCCACCCTTCCTACCCTGTCAGAATATGTGTGATGGTGATTGTCAACATGCAGAAACAATACACACACACACACACACACACACACACACACACACACCATCCCCAATTGATTATGATTTTCTTAAGAAAAGCGAACATATTTTAATGAGCCTTTTAAAAATTTTCTGGCCAGCATCTAGTACTGAGCTAGGTGTGTGCTGGTCTTCAAAAAGGAATTAGGGACTTAATGAATGATTTGACTCAGTCTTCCTGTCTCCTACATCTTAGACCAGATCAGTGTTACTGCCACTTACTTCAAGTCACTTTTCTAATGTTTCCATAGTGATTGATACTGCTGCTGTTCATCTACTAAATACACAGCTTTGGAAACTGAAAGGGCCAATGTTCCGGATCCCATACGAAGCTCATAACTTAGAGACTAAGGATTTACTGGTGTGCCTCAATAAAGATTCTCAGGCTGGAGCAATAATACAGCACGTAGGGCATTTGCCTTACATGCAGCCGACCCAGGTTCGATCCTCGGCATCCCATATGGTCCCCCAAGCACCACCAGGAGTAATTCCTGAGTGCAGAATCAGGAGTAGTCCCTGAGCATCGCTGGGTGTGACCCAAAAAACAAATAAATAAATAAATAAAAATAAAGATTCTTGTGATGTTTCTTAACTTGCTGCAAAGAGGTGAAAACCAAGCCAAAAGGCTGGGGACCAATCTCGATCGGGATGCAATTCCCTAATTTAGATTAACTCTGAGTTTTAGAGTTTTTGTCTATAACAAAAAAAGAAGTTATTTTCTTTCTCACTTATAAGGAAAAAATATCCCAAATTAGTTCATAAATAGGAGATTTTTCTTATACAAAGAATAACAATGGTGAACAAAACATCTACGACAATGGGAAAATGAAAGACATCAAGAGAATAAACCCCAGGTAAACACCAGTGACATCAGACTTCTGCAATATGCCTAAAGAAGCCTTAAGGACAATAATCATATTGTAACCATATCACCCAAACTATAATTAAAAATTTTTGAAAAACCCACAAAGGATAAGAGTAAGTGGTACCATGTTATACCTGAAAGTATAGTAACCCAAATTCTGCTTTTCATAGATGAGGAAACTAAGATACATTGTTTCAATGAGTGAGTCTTACAAGTGGGGAGAAATTATACAAGGGTTAGAAAAGGGGTCTGGCTCTCTCTGGGCTGGGAGCTTCACTCTTGGCAACAGTGACAGTAGTGACTTTAGGTTGTATTTACAAAGACCTGGAGGCATGCGAGCCACAAGACACAGTGCAGAGGGCTCCAGGGGAATGTCTCTGGAGATCTGATGAATGGTTGGGAAGTTATTTATGGCTCTGAATGATAAAGGAAAAGTGATGAGCCCTTTCAACCTACCTCTTTTCCAACCAGGGAAGGTAGGATGGACCCTCACATTTCAGAGTGGTGAAAGCCTGACCAAACACGTGTTGGGGGAATTTCTTCAGCTCAGCTTCGCTCATCTTCCGGAAACCCAGAACCACGTCTGCCCAGAACGGCACTTCTTCAGCAGGAATGCTCTGAAATATCTGCCAACTCAAACACATTTGATGGAAAAACTTGCTAAAATTTCATGAAACAGCAAGTTTCTAAAGACTTCTATGCAATTAACTGGAAAGCATGTTTAGGCTGGGAGTGGGCTCCCAAGGGGCACTCAGGAAGCCCAGGGGCAGCTCCTGACACTACTCAGCCTACCACACCAGCAGTGCAATAGGAGGGCCCCAGGATGCAGTGCTGCTTGGACCCTGCTGTGCTGGGGGACACCAGGCTCACACTGGTGGCACCCAGGGGCCACCAGGGCTACCCTGGTGATGCTGTAGGGCTATGCAAGACCCAGGTCTGAACTCCAGTCCCTGCAGAGGCAAAGCATTTACCCTGAACCACTGAGCCATCTCCCTGCCCTGGAAAGCATTTTTTTTTTTTGGCTATTGAATTTCCCATAAAGATCTATTCTTTTATTCCCTTGGGATCAGATATGTTGTAGCTAAATTTCTGATCATCATCATCATGGGAGAGCCAAGACATTTAAAAAGCAGTGTATCTTTTAAAAGTGTATTTAATTCTCTTTTTTTCTAAAGAGCTTTTTGCGGGGCTGGAGCGATAGCACAGCGGATAGGGCATTTGCCTTGCACGCAGCCGACCCGGGTTTGATTCCCTGCATCCCATATGCTCCCCCCCCCCCCGAGCACTGCCAGGAGTAATTCCTGAGTGCCTGAACCAGGAGTAACTCCTGTGCATCGCCGGGTGTGACCCAAAAAGAAAAAAAAAAAGAGCTATTTGCCAGATTTTCTTTACTTGTGACAGTGAAATCCTGTTTTTTTTGTTTGTTTGTTTTTTGGGGGGGCACACCCAGCTGTGCTCAGTGCTTACTCCTGGTTCTGTGTTCAGGGTTCACTCCTGGTGGGACTTGGGGAGGTGGGGATCATATGGGGTTCTGGGGATTGAACCCAGGTTAGCTACATGAAAATTAATGCCTTAACCCATGTACTGTTTCTTGTGGCCCCATGACTGTGAATTTTTTTTAATTTTTTTTGTTAGGTTCTATGATTTTCAGTACTGTTAACAATGGTTTTCCTGTATATAATTCTAACACCATACCCATCACCAGTATACTCACTCCCTTTGACTATGAAATCTTTGAGAAACCGCTGTTCTGTTTTGCCTAACGCTTTAGATAAATTGGAAGCAAACCATCTTACTTAAAGGGTAGCCTCAATTTTGAACAATGTCTCATGTAGACATCTGAAAATGTCTGTATGAGAATAAGCAATAGTGGGTATGCAGAAAGAAGGCATATAAGTGCTGAGTGAAGATATATATCTTGACAGACTCTCTATGACAGACCAGGGATCCACAGCCTCCTGAAAGAGGACACCTGCTTTCAGTTGTTAAGTCAGAGTCAAAATTGGAATAATAATGCCCATTAACAAGCCTGTGACTGTGCTGCTAATCTCTAAGTATTGTATTGTTCTTATCAATAGGAAATAATATTGTAAATAATGGCTGCTTTAGGTTAACAATGGAAATCATTTGAGTGCTACACATGATCTGCCAATGATGTGGTCATTACGTGCCAGAATGTATACGTTCAAGTACCACTGTACCACTGTCCTCCTGTTGTTCATCGATTTACTCGAGCGAGCACCAGAAACATCTCATTGTGAGACTCGTTACTATTTTTGGCATATTGAGTACACCACCCAGCTTGCTCGCATGGTTATCCATCTAGTGTTCTGCCAATTCTATTCAGGATGACTCAAGTGAACAGCTCGTAGACTACAGACAACAGGCAGATCAGGCAATAGTTCCCAATGTCGTGGATGTCCCCCTTCTTGTACAGTAGTACAGTCCTGCTGGTTTTCCATTGGGATGCATTCAGACAGGTAGCGTGTGAAGAGCCAAGCCAGTGTATTGATGAGTAGTGACGGAAGGTTCTTCAGGTGTTTGGGTCTGACCTTGTGATTGTGATTATAAATGTAAATCTTTAGATTGTAAATGGTTGGGTTCCAGAGACATCTCTGTATGGCACCTAATCTATTTTGGGATTCAATTGGGAATCTCTGGGCCAGGGCTGTTGGTGTGCTAAGATGGCACCTGGAGGCAAATTGTGGGCATGTCAGCCAGCCAGCTGGGCAGGCAGGGCCCCAGAGAGGGAAAGTCCAGGTCCTCTGCTGTCATGCAGCCTGGAGATTTAGTCCTGGAACCCGCATACTGGGGATTGGGGGGTGGGGGGATGGGGCTTGCTTATGGAAGCTCTTGGTCACCAGGATTCCATCTGGAGTAGGCCTACACCCATCTAACAGATCTCCATGAGAATCACTTTTGTCTCTGGATGGCTTCTCATGAATTCTCAGAGTAAGTTTACCTTCTAAATAGATATACCTGTACTTCTCCCTTGATACTTCGTGTCTCATGTGTAGCTCATTGGATTTAAGACATTCCCCACAGACCATAAGTTACATGAAGACAGAGCTATGTCTACCTATCTTAAAAATTCACTCAACAGACCTAGGGATGTGTCTCAATTATAGATCTTCATTCCAGCAGATGCTTCGTGGTAAAAACAATATAAAATGAATTACTGTGCACCTGCTACGCAGGCAGGCTTGAATGGGGGTTGGGAAAATGGAGACAATGGCTGATGGAAGGTGACAGCTGTGGTAAGATCAGTGTTAGAATACTGAATGCCTGTAATAAATTATCATGAACAACTTTGTAAATCATGGTGTTTAAATAAAGTGTGTGTTGTAAAAAGGAGAAATTTATAGATGTTTCCTTCAGGCCTCAGGTTTAATCCCAGTACCCCAACCAACCCTCACGTTGTGTGATTCTGGTGATAAACAGCCCCTAATTGTAACAAAAGGAACAAAATCACTTTACAAGTATCTAAGTATCTATAGTATATCTACTGTATGTCAGTTTGTATGCATTAAACTGTATGCACGAACAGTTTCAGGTATTAAGGGCCTAATAGTATCAGGCCCTTAATACCTGATACTATTGAATGCTATCTACATTATTTTGGAAGAATGAGTCAGTGAATAATGACGGAATCTAAAGATGCATATTAAAGATTCAGAAGATTTCATGCCCTTGTCTTTGCTTGACAGATTCAAATCCTTCTTGGAACCAGGTAAGATTAAAAATCACTCTCAGCTCAATGGTGACAAAGCCTTACTCTTGAAGGGACATTTGAATTTCAGACACAGCTGTTTCAAAATATTTTTCAAAACCAAAAGCAGTGAATTAGAGTGATTTGTGTTGGATTTGAACAAAAATCCAAGTACAGCCATAGGCTAATAAGAACCATTTATCTATGAAGTTCATCAACTGGTCCTGGAGAAAACTCTCCACTCCCCTGAAGAGGGAAAGGAACTGCTGTCTTGAATGGAACCTTTGGGGTTTAGTAGTGTGAACATCATTTCAGGTTTGTGCTAGTGAGGAAGGACAAGAGGATTAGGGTAAGAATCTGTCAGATTCAGGGTTTTACTCCAGCAGAAAATTGTCAGCAGACAGCCTGCTCTCAATAAATACAGTTGACGGGCGGGTGGGGGTGAGGGACAGGGACATAGTTCATGTCGTAGAGCACGTGCTGTGTGAAACCCTGCACTCACCCACACCCACACCCTCAGCCCCCCCCCCCCCCCCGCCCTCTCTCTCTCTCTCCCTGCAGCACACTAGGAATATCCTTGGTAGCCTTCAAGCACCAGCAAGTATGGTCCCCAGAAATGACTGTTTTTAAAAAGAGTAAAGATATGGGGCCAGGGTGACAGTGCAGCAGATAGGGCATTTGCCTTGCACACAGCTGCTCTGGGTTCGATCTCCAGCATCCCATATGGTTCCCCAAGCACCACCGGGAGTAATTCCTGAGTGCAGAGCCAGGAGTAACCCCTGAGCAATGCTAGGTGTGACCCAAAAAGGCAAAAAGGAAAAAAAAGAGTAAAGATGAATGGAGAGGAGCTCAAAGGGTTGGAGTATATGCTTTGCATGTAGAAAACCTGGGGTTTGATTCCTGATCCCAAGTTTCCTGAGCACTGCCAGGAGTAGCCCCTATGTGCCACTGGGTGTGAATCCCAAATCTGAAAAATTAATAAATAAAACAAAAACTAGGAAGAACATTTTTTAAAAAAAACAGCAACCAAAATGGTGGTTTTGAGAACTCAAAAAAGACAAACATCTCAGGGCTGGAACAATAGCAAAATGAGTAGGGCATTTGCCTTGCATGCAGCTGACCCGGGTTTGAGTCTCAGCATCCCATACAGTCCCCCGAGCACCGCCAGGAGCAATTCCTGAGTACATGAGCCAGGAGTAATCCCTGTGGATCCCCGGATGTGACCCAAAAAGCAAAAAAAAAAAAAAAAAGACAAACATATCTCTACTCTTTAAAGGATTGTTGGGCATAACTCTTGCTATCAAATACATAACACCATCAACATGTATTATGTCAAATGATGACATCTAATGATAAAGGCATAAGTTAAGACAGAATGGTTAGCAATCTCTATTTAAGAAGATAGAAATTATTGTCATAGCTTATGTACTAATTTATATTATAAATGTCACATAGGATTTATTTTCAACTGACAAAATCAGATATTGCACATGATCTTAGACACAAGCCTGAGGTACTGCTATCATTTACTCCAAATTCCTTAGCTTACTGGTATATTCCTCCTGAAATAAAATAGAATGTGAAGCTTTGAATAGAAGTGTGTAAGTTTGTCACTGATGGGGGTGGCAGTTACTCCTGGGTGGAGGCAGTCACTGTGGGTGAGGGCAGTCACTGATGGGGGTGGGCACTCAGGGCCCCAGCAGCACAGCGTTCTCAGGTCCTTGCACTGAGGGACCTACTTGGTTGGCTGAGAATTTCTGGAAGTGGTCCCCCTTCCCCCTCAAAAAAGAAAAAAATAACAACAACAAACAAAAACCCAGAACACCTGAAGCAGGTATGATTTGGGTGATGGACAACAAAGGGTCCTGGCCTGATTAGAACTCCCAGAACTAGGAGAAATCAATTTACCTTGGTGTATAAACTGGTCAAGAAAAGCAAATTGTATAGGTCTCTAAAGTTATTTTCTTGATGTGCCCTTTGGGAAAAGTATTTCTGGAAAGCGTAGCTCAGGGGTAGGAGAGTTAGTTGAGGGGTTAAGGCATTTGCCTTGCATGCGACTCACCCACGCACCTCTGGCCCAGTTGGCCAAGAATTGCTGGAAGGGGTCCAAGGGGTCTCCTGATCACCCCTTGGGAGCACCACCAAATCAAAACAACACCCAAAAGATGTGAAAAACTTACAGACTAATGGGGCAAGCACTGATGGGGGTGGGCAGGCACTGATGGGGGCCACTGATAAGGGTGGCACCTATTTTTAAAAAGAAATACTGCCACAAAGTCAAATGTATATTATAACATTTATTTTTGAGTTCTCTTTGGAGTGCCTCTAAATCCTCCTGCCTCTAGTCAGCTCTTTTCTCTCAGCAATCACTCAAGAATATTTTATGCAGAACGCAGAAGCCTGTGATGAGAGCTTTAAATTCTCAAATAACGCAAAGCTTCTGCTCTTACCCGGACACCAGGTGAACGCCAGCATCTCCAGCTTCTGCAGAACTGGCGATTGCAAACAGGTGATCAAAGGTCTCTCGGAACCACTGCTTCTGCCTGGGCATGGGGATGTCTGTAATCACCGAGAAAAGCAAAGTGGGAATAAAGGGAATCAATGACAGTGACTGAGCTTCTAGTCAACTCCATTCTGGGAACCGGGGCCACCAAAAGGATACCAGGAGGAAAAATGGGAGAAAGTTCACCTCATGCCAGAGGGTCCATCAGTGATTAGAGTTTTGGACGTTGTTGCATGCTGCTGTTAACAAAATTGTTCATCCACAGAGAAAGGCACCTACTGACGAAAATCTGGGAATGGGAGTGAGCCGCAGGCAAGTGCTCCCAAGGGGTGATCAGTGCCTAAGGGGCCTTAGGCACTGAGCATATTCCATGGATCTTAAAGGGTCCATGACCAATCTGAACAGAAGCTGGCAGGAGCTGCAGTGTGCAGCTAGTCACAAAGGACAGGAGAAAAAACGCTGCGCCTCTTCCTTGGGGACTGAAAACATGGAGAGTGGCTTGGGCAATCAGCGAACCTGGGCCAACCAGGAAAGACACTAAATGCACATCAATGGGGGGTTCAGGGGTTCAGCCTCCTGACTCAAAGAAGCATGGACTACACTAAGGAGATGATTCCAACCCCCCTGTTTCCCCAAAGGTGCCCCCAGAAGCACTAACCAGTGGAGTATGCCATTATTCCCTTTCCCTCCACTCCATGCAGTAAAGGGCAGCCTACAATGACATTGTCGTCATGGGACAGCACCCCAGCATCACCTCCCTGTCAGTCCAGTCTTTCAAGGTTCCTATTTTTCCAGGAATCCCTACCAGAGCACAAAAGACAGAACCTAAACACAGCTTCCAGAAGGTTTGTCAGGGAGGAAATAGGCAAAATTCAAGCCCCCACCCCCCATAAGTATTTAGCATAACACAGCTACAAGTATGACCCACATCTTGGCACAGACAAATTCAACAGTGAATGAGTGAAGGATCTGGACAACTGATCCCTGTTGGAGGGTCATGAAGGAAGGAGATTCCAGGGTCAGGTGAGGGACTGGGGAACGGTCACCCTGAGAGGCTTCTACTGGGGAAACCACAGAGACAAGGAACAGAGGCAGAGAGGATGATGATCAGCTTAGTTTGTGGACATATCCCTGGAACTTATGGTCCAGAGGAAAGGGAAGTAGAGGTATTCTGCTTCCCAAAGTCAAGTTTTTGTGTCAAGAAGACCATTCTAGTAACAGGGCTTTTAAAACAATGCTCTCCTTAAAGAGCCAATAGATGTTTATTTTTGTCATGAGTTTGTGCCATTGTCTGAATGTCCGTACCATTGTGAACCCTACATTGTATTCCAAAATTGCAAGCTGAGGCCAGTGGTTTAGAAAAAGAACTCAGCAGCAAGTTGCAGGAAAAGAGACAAAAAATTGACTTCAGGGGCTGAAGCAACAGTGTACCAGGTAGGGTATTTGGCTTGCATATAGATGACTTAGTTTGGATCCCCAGCATTCTATATGGTCCCCCAAGCAACACCAGGAGAAATTCCTGAGTGCAGAGCCTGGAGTAATAATCCCTGCTGGGTTTAGCCCCCAAAACAAAACAAAATACACATCATATGGATAACACCCCCAACAACCTAGGTCACATATACAGGACCAGATTAAATATATCATACTCTTGGTATGTCAGACATTAAACACAAAACAGATGGGGAGGCAGAGGGATAACTGAATGGATTAAGAACATGCTTTGAAAGCCGCAGCTCCCACCCCAGCATCTCTAGAGTCTGAGACCCCATTTATCCCTTTAACATTTTTTAAAAAGAGGGCCGTAGCAATAGTACAGCAGGTAGGGCGTTTGCCTTGCATGCGGCCCCCCAGGTTCGATTCCCAGCTTCCCATATGTTCCTCTGAGCACTGCCAGGAGTAATTCCTGAGTGCAGAGCCAGGAGTAAACCCTGTGCATTGCTGGGTGTGACCCAAAAAGAAAAAAAAATTAAAAAGAAAGAAAGAAAAAAAAAAACAACGGGTGCTGATATTTACACAATGCAGACGTCATCTCAAAAGAATAGAGCATGCCAATTTCACAGTGGGCTGAGCAAACCTGATGTATATTCAAGTAATAGTAAAAGAAAATTGTAGCTGGGGCGGCATTAAGATAACAATAGCAGAAGTATCTCTTATGTCCTAGGTACTTCTAAATATTTTACATCCATTCGCTCACTTAGTCCTCTCCACACCCCTAATGAATGAAGAATGGCCATGTTTAAGCACAGGAGATATTTGCCATGGGGTTGATCCATAAAAGAAACCCAGGGACAGACTAGCAGCACCAGAGAGACCCCAACCCCCCAGAAGCTGGCCCAGCAGGTGAGTTCAGGCCTCAGTAGCCTTATGATGTAGGCAGGTAGGCTTTCCAACGTCAAGTTTTTGTGTCAAGAAGGCCATTCTAGTAACAGGGCTATTAAAACAATGCTCTCTTTAAAGAGCCAGTACATGTTTATCTTCGTCAAGGGTTTGTGCTGTTGTCTTTATGCCTGTACCATTGGAAGAGCCCCCCCATGGCAATGGAATTCCTGGGGAATAATAGCCCGAGAGGCTGCAAAAAGCCCACCAGTGAGTATAGAAACTAAGGCCCAATAAGACTTCATATGAGCCAACAGACCGAAAGAGGATGGACCACCCTCTCTCTCAGCAGGAGCAAAGGCCAGGAATTTCAAAGAGGACCATCAACCACTTTCAACTACCCCTTTGGCAACTGCCCTCACAATGGACTTTTACCTAGCTAGAAGCCCCACATAGGGCTGCTTGAGAGAAACTATAAAAGCCACCTTGAACAAATGAAGCTCCAGCATATGCTGCCCCAGCTCAAGTGCTGCTTGTGGATGTAGGTAGGCAGATAGCCAGGGAAGGGCCCCGTGGCAATGAAACTTCTAGGGATGAAGGCCACCAGGATTTACAATGAAATTCCTGGGAGGTAATAGCCCTAAAGTTACCTAGGTAGAAGCCCCACTTGGGGGCAGTTTGGAAAAACCCTGTAAAAGACACCTCGAACAAAGGAAGGGTGCACATATGGTGCCCAAGACCATGAGCTGCGTGTGCCCATGTAGCAGAGTACATGGGATGCCTGAGCACATGTGTCACCCGCATCTCTCCTCTTTAGATGTGTACTTCCATGGTTCCATGTCTAATGCTGGGATGTGTGTAGGGGCTCTCTCCAACCTTGGAAAAGCCTGGGTTCCGTCTTGAGCACGTTTCTTTCTCTTTCTCTTTCTCTCTTTTTTCTCCTCTCTTTTTTCTTTTCTCTGTCTCTCTCTCTATCTCTCTCTCGTTCCCCCTCCCACTTTTCTTTCCCTCCTCCTCTTCAAAAACCTCCAAAGAAAATCCGTTTTACTTAACTGCTCACCTACTCCTGAAATTCTTTTCTGCAAAGTGAGACAAGAACCCAGTAACCCTGGGTCCCGGGTGGCAGAAGCAGACCAGGAGAAAGTGGTTTTCTTTCTCCTCCCTGCTTCACATAAACCACCCATGGGGTCCACTACATCACTTGTGCCCTTGTGGGCAAGCACATGTGGCGTCCACCTGCATCTCCCTTCTTGAGATGTGTACTGGGGCTCTTTCCATCCTTGGAAAAGTCCGTGTTCTCTTTTGAGTTACTCTCACTTTCTTTCTCTCCCTCTTTCCCCTTCCTAAAGCCTTCAGATAAAATCTGTTTTTTACTTGACTGTGTCTCCCCCTGAAGTTCTTTCCTTTGTGGTAGGACAAAAACCCAGAAGACCCATGTGAGTCAGTATTCTGCAACAGTGCTGGGCTTCTATACTTATCACGCCTCTCCCAGGTGGTCAGCTGGCACCCTGAGTGCTGGCACAGCCAAGTTCCTGGTTCCAGAATGCCACAGCCAATGTGTTTCGCATCCCAGCAAAAAGACAAAACAGGAGTGTTCTGGAGGTTGGAGAGCTAGTACAGCAGGTAAGAGCTGCAGACAGCCAAAAGGGACTTCATCCCCACCACTGTATATGTTCCCTCAAGCCCTGCCAGGAGTGCAGGGCTTGATCCCTGAGTGCAGAGGCAGGAGTAAGCCCTGAGAAACATTGGATGTGGCCCCAAACCAAGAAAAAACAGTGGGGCCTGGACTGGGAAATACCACCCAGGCAGAGATAGGAATATCTTTCTGAGCACAAGAGGATTTAAGAAGCAAACAAAATACTAAGGCCCCAGGCCTCTTGCCCCCAAGGTCTAGAGTGTTACTTACCAGGTCAATGGCCTCCCTGGCCAGGAACTGGAATCAGGAAGAACATAACAGCCCCAAACTCAAACATAACATCAGAGGCTCCCTAACTAAATAAACTTTGGTGAGTTCAAATCAACAAGCCTTGCTCCAGCACTCAGAAATTCCCACCAGCTGTTCCCCATAGTCTTACACATGGCCAAAGAAAACCGAGGGAAATGAAAACATCAGCCCCAAAACAACTGGGAGAGAACAGAAACTGCTGGAGAGAGGGAGCAGAGACCCAAAAACTATCATCAGTCACTTTCAAAAAAAGTGAAAGATAAGAAAAGCCATTGCAACTGCAGGACACAATCATGCTAACAAAGGAAAATTCAGTTAGAAAAAAAGAGCTTTGGAACAGTCAACATGCTATTATCTTTTTTGTTTATCATTTTAAGCATTTCACACTTTTAGATGTGAAAAGAAAATGTTACAAGGTGAAAGACAAGATGGAGAAATTTCCCAGAAGGAGAGAGAGAGAGAGAGAGAGAGAGAGAGAGAGAGAGAGAATACTAGGAAGGGTTGGAAAAGGCTAAAGGATTTGGTGGAGAAGTTCCGGAGGCCCAGCCTAATTAATAGCACTGCCTAAGCAACCTCAGAGCAGCTCAGGGGTCGATGCTCCCTTTCAGAGACTTGAAAGGGAGCATCGACCCCTGAGCTGCTCTGAGGCTGCTTAGGGGAAGAATGTAGGCTATGGATTAAATAGCCAGGCAATTCTCTCAGCCCAGACTGCTGAGGTTTATAATAAATCTTGCATCCGTTTGACTTTTTAAGTGCACATACAACTTTGATGAATCAGTAAACATTAAAACGGGGAAAATGAGAGGGTTAATGAATGGAGGTGGCAAAGACAAACTTCAGTAACTGCAAAGTACCTTGAGTTTTTAGTTACTCCTTCACCCATTTCATGTGATTACAGAATGAAAAGGATGCAGAATTGTGTTAAAATTGAAAAAAAAATAGAGTGGGCTGGGGTGAAAGTTCAAAAAGCTGGAGGCTTTTCAGGTCAATCTCTAAAACTTTATGGTCTCCTGAGCACAGAGCTAGGACTAGCCCCTGAGCACTGAGGGTATGCCTGGCCCTAATAATAACAACCACCAATGCATTTTTCAGGCCTACCTACATTTATACTGATTTGGAATACAATTTCAACCCCATTACAAATGATTTCTTACTTGACTCTGCCCTTAATAGTATCCATGAAAAGACTTACAGTTACCAATTTTGGTAGCTATTGGTGCTGATTAACCAAATTCTTCAGGCTATCAACCTTCTTGTAGAAAGGCACTTCTCGCTTCTTCTGATGGGTGAGAGCATGAGACCAGCTCTGGCCAACGAGCTGTGGTCTGAAGTGAAGTATGTGGGGTTGTTTTTTTTTTCTTTTTGGATCACACCAGGCGGTGCACATGGGTTACTTCTGGCTTTGCACTCAGGAATTACTACTGGAAGTGCTTGGGGGGACCATATGGGATGCTGAGAATCGAACCCAGTTAACCCTACCCACTGTACTATCGCTCCAGCCCCGGATGTGGTTTCTTAGCTAGTGCTTTTTGTTGTATTAGTAAGAACCTCCAAGCTCCCCTTTCTCCAAGCACACTTAATGATATTCCCGACTACACTGGGTGACTAGCAGAACATTCACTCAATCAATCTATAATGCACGCAAGAAACAAACCTTGGTTTTAAAGTGTCCCATGGCATCACCGGCCCTTTCTCAGATACATTATCGGGATGTGAGGTTTGCACCCCACCTAATCACCCACCCAGCTGTCAGGCGTGGCGCAGCCGCGTCTTTATGTCCAGCGTCCGTGCTAGCTGGCCCCAAGCGGCTATCCCTCTCTCACCTGAGTAGGCGTGAGGAATAAGCATTCCAGCGGCCACATCGCTCGTGGTATGGGGAGTGAACTTGTCTGAAATGACCGTGACGGAGCATCGCGGAACCATCCTGGAAATGCACAGCGCAGTGGAGAGCCCCACCACGCCAGCGCCCACCACTGCAATCCGTACTGTCTCCATGCGCCTGTGCGGAGGGAAAGGGGGTGGGGGCGTGAGCCTGGCGTGCAATTGGTCCAGACAGGGCAGGGCTAGACCTTAGCATTCTCTCCTAAGGCTCCCAGTCTCTCAAAACAAGACCTTTCCTGGGGTCGCAATGATAGTACTGTGGATAGGATACTTTTGCATGGCCCACCCTGGCACCACATATGATCCCCCAAGCCCCATCAGGAGTGATCCCTGAGCACAGAGCCAGGAGGAAGCCATGAGTAGCATTGGCTGTGTCCTCACCCCACACCCCCCCAAAACGCAAGACTTTCCCAATTGTTGAGATGTCAGCAATGAGTTGGGCTCTGGGTGATGCATTTGAGGGAGTTTTAGACCGCAGCACAATACTGGACTGGAGCTGCTTTTATTTTTATTATGTATTTGGTTGTTTTTGTTTTGGGTCACACTTGGCAGTGCTCAGGGGTCACTTCTAGCCAGTCTCAGGAGACCAATTGTGGTGCTGGGAATTGAACCCCGGACGACCACATGCAAGGAAAGTGCCTACCCACAGTACTATCTCTTTGGCCCCTGGGGTTGCTTTTAGAATACACAGTATATTTCGGGGGTGACATTTACTATGACACTCCCTTTGCAAAGCCATCTTAACTGTGGTCATCACCTACGGAAGGTTCATGAGGCAGGTAAGGGAGCCCCGTCTTGGCTTCCAGAAACCACCTCAGAGGTAGCTTTTGAGAGACCCCCATTCTGTTACAGACAGGTGTTTGGGTTTAGGTTTTGTTTTTCAGCCACACCTGACAATGCTCAGAGCTTACTCCTGAATCTGAGCTCCAGAATTGCTTTTTTTTTTTTCTTTTTGGGTCATACCTGGAAATGCAAGGGGTTACTCCTGGCTCTGCACTCTCGGAATTACTCCTGGCGGTGCTCAGGGGACTATATGGGATGCTGGGAATCTGGGAATCAAACTTGGGTCAGCTGCGTGCAAGGCAAATGCCCTACCCGCTGTACTATTGCTCCAGCCCCTCCAGAATTGCTCTTGATGAGGTTCTGGGTACTGAAAATTAAACCAGCCTCAGCTGATTGCAAGTCAAACCCTTTACCTGATGTACTACCCCTCTGGCCCTCTAAACTGGTTTTTAACTACAAGGTGACGAAAGCACATGAATTGGCAAAAAGAACCCTAAGCTCAATGAAAACCATGGAGGTGGCCCTAAGTCAAGGGGAGGTGGTTGCCAGGAGCAATGTATGGAGGAGTCCTTTTGGTGGTGGTATGGCACTGAAACTCTGATGGTGGGTACAGTGCACCCTATACCCAGTCTGTAGTATTACACTAGACCACTGAACTTCTGTAAACTAATGGTCAATGTAAATTTTTTTCTTTGTACATTTATTATTATTTTTTTTTGCATCATACCTGGCAGCACCTAAGGGCTACTCCCAACTCTGTGCTTGGGAGTCTCTCCTAGCAGTGCTCAGGGAAATATGCAGTGTCAGAGCCTGAGCTGGGCTCCTAGTAAGCCATATAGAAATATAAAGAGATAGAAAAAAATTAATGATAACTATTTTAAGACAGTGACAAGAAGTTTGAAGGACTGAACTTAACCTTACTCTCCTTTCTCACTCTAATTGGAAACCAGCTTTGTATCCCCAGACCTCTCCCTCTCAGTTATGTGCCCATCAACCCCCCTCCGCCCCCCATACCACACAACCATGTGCCTGAGACCTCTTACCCTCCTCCCAGAGCAGGGACAGAGGAACCTGGATTCCTTTGTAGCTGCATCAGGTACTAATACTCTAACCTGGAGAATTGCCTGGGGTCTGCAAGCCTCAATTTCCTCATTAGTAGGTCAGTTTTGATGGAGAAACCCCCTGAGGTAGTCTCCAAAAGGATGCTCTTGCCAAGAATTCTGTAGAATTGCCAGAAGCAGATACTCATTAGGCAGGCTCCTGGGGCAGGAATGATGCCTACTGAACAGCAGGAGTCCCAACTCCAAGGTCAGTGTCCCTGCCCACAGTGGCAGTCCTGCAGCATGTCCACTCCTCCTGCCACCTTAGCGCTCGCTCTCTCTCTCTCTCTGTGTGTGTATAGATCTCATGCTGACACTTCATAGAAAGAGGAGGGTAGTTAATCCTTTGGTCATGAGCACAGACATTCCTAGGGCACAATGTTAACTGTTCTTGGCACACTGGCCCTCCCTGGGTGGTCAGCAACAGAATGAGTGCAGGGACATGGGGCATAATCATAGCCACCCACACATCCTGCTGAGATGAGAATCTGGGTGTTGGGGCCAAAGTCATAGTACAGCAGGTAGAGTACCTTGCACAGCTAATCCGGGTTTGATGCCCGCCCCCCCCCCATATGGTCCTCTGAGCTTGCCAAGAGTGATCCCTGAGCACTGTCGGGTGAGGCCCCCAAACAAAAACCAAAGAATCTGCAGACTTTCTGTTTCTCAAGCAGCCTGTGTCTTTCCTCACCCTTTAGTTCCTCTGCCTGTTCTGAGGCCACTGGCTAGTTGAGCGGGAGTTGGGGGCTCGGGGTAGAAGGGAGGGATGCATCAGCCCCAGGGGACAAGTCTGAGGGCCTCCTGAAGGGAAGGAAGGCGACCACTGGTCCCCTTTCAAGTTTCCCATCACCCTCCCCTGCCCAACAGCTTTCTCCAGACTCTCCCCATGAAAGGAGAGGAGGAAAGTAAGCGGTAGTTAAGGATAACCAGCTCTAGGAGAGAGACGGCCCAGTGGGCACAGCCTGTCCCCGGGGACCTGTTGAGCACTGTCAGTTGCTTCCATGAAGATACACCTTAAACTCCGAGAGGAAGCCCAGGAGAATCCCTGAGCTACAAGCCGGAGGATTCAGTACCTGCCTTTGAAAAAACAGCTGTGGAAGCGACACCCGGCGCTGACTCGGACACTTGTTTTCCCAGAGACCGACTTGTTGGTGCAGTGCCCTGAGAGGCAGAGAGAGCAAAGCTGCTTCCCATTGGGGAATTCGAGGAGGCTTTTCCCTCTAAGCGTCCTCCCCATTGGCCCGCCAGCCTGCGGCTGTTGTTCAGTCCCCTGGAGAATTGAGCCATTGCCCTGGTTGCAAAGGGCAGCTCCCTGCCAGCTCCCAGACCTGTTCTCGCCTCTTTAAATGACCAGCTTCATTTTCTACCGGACTGGGTTTTCTCTAGCTGACTGGGTGATGTGACTCATTGGCAAACTTGTTTGACTTCCAGCAAATTCCAAAAGCAAAGACCTATTTTCTATCTTCCGCTGCCCAGAGTTAGCAGCTGCCTTGCATTGGTGCCTGGCTCTGCTGGGTCTACTGGTAAGGCCTAGGGCTAGGGAGGAGGGAGGAATGAGGGGAGAAAAATGTCACTGGTCTCTAAAAACCGCTTTAACAGCAGTTGGGGTCAGGGCAGGGGTGGGGGGGGACACTGGGGAGATGAACTAGGCTAAAATACAAATGATGCTTTAGATCACATATTCAAAGAAGGGAACCAATATTTGTATTTGCTGCATCCACTGTGTCTACCTTTATACACACACTCTATATGGCTTATTCACTGAGCTCACCAATGCTTTAATAAAACTTTTTTTGGGGGGTGCGGGGGATGGGTGGGTTATACTCAGCAGTGCTCAGGACTTGTTCCTGGCTCTGTGCTTAGGAATTATTCCTGGTGGGGCTTAGGGGACCATATGGGACACCAGGCCTCATACAAGCCAAATGTCCTACCCACTATATTATCATTCCAGCCCCCAGATAAAGCACTTTATGAAATACAAACAGAGCTATCTGATGGCTATAACTGTATCACTGTCCTCCCATTGTTCATCGATTTGCTCGAGCAGGCCCAGTAACGTCTCCATTGGAGACTTTGTTGTTACTGTGTTTGGCGTATTGAATACGTCACGGGGAGCTTGCCAGGCTCTGCTGCGCTGGCGAGATACTCTTGGTAGCTTGCTGGGCTCTCCGAGAGGGGCGGAGGAATCGAACTCGGGTCGGCCATGTTGGATGCGTGCAAGGCAAACGCCCTACGCCCTACCGCTGTGCTATCACTCCAGCCCCAGGCTATAACTTTGTTCCAAATATTATAGACATTATATTACTGGTTTCAAGTGTGAAGTCAGAAGCCTGTGCTAAAATATTAAATGCCGGAGAAGGAGGCAAATAGTAAGGTAAGGCACTTGCCTTGCACGTTGACAACCCAGTTTTAATAGTGACACCCCATATGGTCCCCTAAGCCCCACTGGAAATGATCCAGGAGTACAGAGCCAGTAGTAAACCCTGAGCACTGTTGGGTGTAGCCCAAAAACTAAAAAGAAGAAAAAGAAAAAAAATAAAGAAATGCTAGAGGAGGACTAAAAAAGAGAGTTCAGTGGGCTAAGTGCATGCTCTGCATTCTGGAGGCTGGGGTTCAAGCCCTGGCATCACATGGTCCCCTAAGCACTGGACTCCTATGCACAGAAACAGAATCAGTCCCCAAGTACAGCAAATGTGGTCCCCTCAAAACAGCAAAAAAAAAAAAAAAAAAAAAAAAAAAACAATTCAGTAGCATTGGGGTGAAAATATGGCTCAGTGGTTAAACACTTGCCTGTCATGTATGAGGCCCTGAGTTTGATTCCAAGAATCTTTGGTCCTTAGAACACTGTCATAAGCCTCCCCTGGAGTACTGAACCAGGAGCAGTCTCCGTAGCACAACTGGGGGTGCCCCTTCCTCACCCAAAAAAATAGAGAGTGTTGATTCTCCTAAGAGAGGAAGAAGTATATTCAAAGGGCTTTGTCAAAAGGAACAACTCGCCACTTACAACCTTACCCCAGCAGACATTCACTTGGGGAAGGGGCGCAAAGCTAAGGTCCTCTGAAAGTATGTGGTCATCTCTTAGGCTTTCATGATGCAGGTAATGGCTAAGAATCATTGACATAACAGAGAAACATATTTGGCAGCAATAAGAAATCAGGTAAAGATAAGAATTCTCATCTTGGTTTTTATTTCATTTACTTTTACAAAGCAGCTGCTCCAAAATTTTATTCCAATTTTTTTAAATACATATAAATACAACATACAGTAGATGAGAATAATACAAAAGCACTAAAATGAACAATATCTGAGGTACCATGTAGCACATAGGGCATATTTATTCATGAGCCCCAGGATGCTCTAATTGATTATCTCTCTCTTCCAACAGACTTTTATTGCCTATGGGAAGTGTATCCTTTGAGTTGGTTTTCTGTCCTTTCTTCAGTATGAAAGAATCCTCCCAAGTATTTGCCAGAGGCATTTTGAAGGTTTCTGGAAGCACGAGTGTTAGTACTCCACTCAGTAAGACCAAGACCATCACTAAGAACTATAAGGAAGGTTAAAAAACAGTAAGTGACATACCAAATAAATGTGTCCCAGTGAAAGATTCTTAGTACCATTGAGTTTCACCTGTTTTGTAATTTCTCATGGTTTTTGAGCCACACCTGACAGCACTCAGGGGCTACTCCCAGTTCAGTGCTCAGAAGTGGCTCCCAGCGGTGCTTAGGAGATCATGCATTGCTGGGGATCAAACCCAGAAAGGGTACAGTTGAGCACAGACCATTGAACCATCTCTCTGGCCCCAAATGCTGTTACTTTTATTCCTCAGTGAGACTTTTGGTTACTTACACTAGATTGGGAGTTCTTGAGTTCATAGGTGAGGTTTCATCTGATCACTCATTCATTCTGTCATGAACCGCTGCTGAGAACCTTCTACATAAATCCCAGTGCAGCCCCTGCTGTCTTCAGGGCTACCGGCACACAAAGACCCTCCCAGCCTAAGAATCTGGAGGAACTGTGCCTTGGACAGGGACATGCTGACCAGTGCTTCGCTGAACCCAAAGCAACAGAATTTAGGGGGAAACATACATAAAAGTCATGGAAACTAATTTCTGCTTTGGCTATGAAAAGTCAGGACTCCTCTACTTTCCAATTTTGATTCCTTAAAGCCAACCTTTTTGACAACCACCTAAGTGTCTACTTCTAAAAATTGCAAATCACTTTAAAAATAAAAGTCTAAGTAACTGTTTCCAGAACTACCAGGTGGATTTTAGATCTAAATCTCTACATAATGTCAAAGAATATACTCTCTCTTCACTTAATTTGAATTCCTGTGGCAAAAAAACCAAAATGACAAGCAACCACTGCCTGAAAAAACACCTAAAAAAAATCAATGAAGGTGTGATTTCTTGATAGAGTCTAGAGATCTTGCATTTTTTGTTTTGATTTTGGGACCACACCGGGTGGTGCTCAAGGCTCACTCCTGGCTGGGAACTCAAGGATCACTCCTGGCAGTGCCTGGGGCTCGAACTCAGGTTGGCAGCATGCGAGGCAAACCCTGTCCACTGTCCTAACTCTCTGAGCCATAGAGACTTGGTATGTTTTAGCTTCTGAGAATGAGCACCATGAAACAAACCCAGAGCAAGTGGAAGATGAGGTGAGGTCACATCAAGGAAAAACATTGATAGGAAGGCAGATTGTTGTTTTTTGTTTTTGTTTTTTTGTTTGTTGTTTTGCTTTGTAGGTGGCTAAGAACCTATTATGTAGAAGTATATGGGCAGACCTAGAAGAAGCTGCCGAATTTAAAGTGACACTCCTGAGGATGTAGAGAGACCTTTTCAGGCTCCTGGAAACTTGCCGTGGAGACCCCAGAAGAGTCCCCAGTGCAGGGTCTGACTAAGTCTCATGGTGAAGGAGAGTCAAATGGACAGTCCTGTTATTCATCCTACTATGGTAGGTAGCAAGAAGGCCCCTGAGGCAGGAAATAAATCTACAACCCTTCTCTCTGCCTCCTCACTGGAGTCCTGGCACCTGGGACAGTCCCCTCCTCCCCTCTGCCTCCTCCCTGTCATTCTCTGCTGCAGTTTCTCTGCTTTGCTCAGGAACTGGCTGTGGCTCTTTGTGTGGCGTGGACTGTACCTGTATCTGTGTGGAGGAAACACGAACAGCACCTGTCTCCAGGGACTGTGGAAGGATGCACCACCCTGCTCAGTGAAGAACATGGACACCAGCCCCTGTCTGCAATCAGTCCACTGTCTGATCTTGTCGTTCATTCCTACCTTCACTGGGGCAGTGTCAGGGAGGGAACCTGGGGCCCACGCATGTGTGCAGCATGAGCTTTATCGTGAAGCCACATCCGTGGTCCCGTTAGAGCTTTGAAACAAGCCTAAGAGGAGCCCATGTGCACGCAGCCCCTGGCCCAGGTGCCATGCGCACCCCCCACCCCGCATGTCCCCTCCCCCACCCCCACACCCCTGTTTCTGCTTCGCCTCTGCTTTGGCAGCCACTGCTGCTGCCTTGCTCTTTTCCAGCCCACGGGTTCTTCTGCCCGACCCAATGGGTCTCCTCCTGCCCCAGCGGCTGCTCTTCCTTCCACCCCCTTCCATGCTGCTGCTCCTGGGATTCTGCACTTTGACCTCCCTCACACTTCCCTTCTTCCTGAACCTTCTCTCACTGTGTGCGTGCTGTCCCCTAGGTCCAGACTCCTGAAGGCATCCACCTCCTCAAGATGTTTCCCCTCCCCCAACTCCTTCCTATTCCCCCAACTCTCACAGGCCATCCTAAATCCTTCCCACATCCTAATTCCAAGCACACTGTCCTTCCTCATCTCTATCCCTCCACCCCCTCTCCCAGGTCTCTCTCCAGCTTTGTAACAACCACCAAACAACCAGGGGCCCATCCAGGTGATTCTTGGCCAATCTGGCCCATGGCTCAGCATGGGAGCCCGAGGCTGTGATGCTGCTTGCTTGGGCCTTGCTAAGATGGGATTCCTTGCCTGGGAGTGGCAGTCCAGTGATGCTTGGGGAACCAGGTGATGCTGGGGACCAGACTGGGGTTGGCCACAGGGAAGGCCTGGCTGAGCCCCATGCTGTGCTTCCACCCGAACTGTCTAACAACTGCAATCCTCCTGCTCCCAGCTCTCACCAACACCCATCTGGCCACCAGCCCACCTTCAGTCCCATTCCTCTGCCACTCTTCCTGCCTTGAGACTCTGCCTCCATCTTCCGGTCTTATCTCTAGATTCCCACAGTCCAGCTGGATAGTAGCAATAATACAGCTCTCAGACCCAAACTGGCCTTTCCCTGTCTTTCTCTGCTCTCTACCTGTAATTCCCTTTTCTTCTCCTCCACTCCCCTGTTGGATCCCCTCTCCTCGAGAAGCTCCCCACAGGATAGTGCCTCACCCTGTAACTCGGTATCCCCTCCGGAGTTCTCACCCTCTGCACTTGTGCCTTACCAGCAGACTGGGGAAAGGGGAAGAAACCAACCTTCCTTCCTCTCCAGAAGGTGCTGCTTGCCTAGCACCTAAAAAGGTTAGTTCAGCAATACAGAAAGTATATGACTTAGAAGTCTACTCCTCAGGCATCCCTAAAAGGGAGACAGCCATAAACAAGACATGCATTTTCCAGAAACAAAATTTTCAGAGCACACTTAAGATAGCACATCTATCCAGCGGGGCTTGACTATCGTTAGACTGTTTGGGCTCTTTTAGGGACGGTGCTAGAGGAAGAGAACTCTCCACAGGATGCCTACTATAGGCCGTGCTTCTTCTCCCAGGTCCACGTGGGATTTCTCCACTTTCCTCCCATGTCCCGTATCTCACCTGTGGAAGAAGCGGGGACCCCAATACCCACAAGAAGCAAATGTGCTGAGTGGCCAGTCCTGGGACCAAGGAGCCATCTGGGTGAACAATTCCTATAGAGCAGATGCATGCCACCTCTGTGTGTCGGGATTGTAAGGCACACCAAGCATTGCTGCCTTTGTTCCTTCTGAGATGCTTTCATGTATTGTAGAAAGACAAATCACTAGCACTTACCCTTGATTTCACCAATAGGACTGCTTAGGGCAATGCTAAGTGTTGAAAGGCTGGGTGTGGTCTCAAAACAAAATTGAAAAAGACCGAATTCTAGGGTCAGAGAGATAGCACATTGGGTGAGGTATTTGCTTTGCTGATCAGGGTTTCATTCCTGGCATTCCATTGGGTCCCCTGAGGCCCTCTAGGAGTCATCCTTGATCACAAAGACAGGAGTAAGCCCTGAGCACTGCCAGGATGGACCCAAAGTAAACAGAAAAAAAAAATTAAATAAAAACTGAATTCTAAATTGGCTCTCAATATAGGAAAACAGAGAGGAAGTAGTGAGCCGGTCTGTCCCTCCACCAGTTCCATAAGATTCTAGAAACTGATTAATACCTGTGGTACCAACTGCGAAAAGGTGGAAAAACTTTGGTAGAATGGAGCTACCAGGCTTCCCAGGCGGCTCACCATGCAGCCACTGCCTACAGCCAGCGCCCTGGAGAGAAGGAAGAATGAGACCAAGGAGGATAAAGGCAACCAGCTCTGAGCAGCAACATAGGGCTTGCCCAGCCTCCCACCAGAGGATAAATGACTAGACTCTCCTTAACATAGTTGGAAATAATCTCCATCGGTTCAAGAATCACTTGTGTTCACACTCACAAATTATGAAGCAGGGGATATAGACCAGCATGAAGATTATTATTATTATTTTTTTTAATGAGGAGGGTAGGGTCACTGTGCCTCCATGGCTATGCAGACAAGGCCCTTCTGTGCAAGACTCTGATGTTAAGGATAGCATCAGTGTTCTTGAGCAGAAATTTGAGAAAGTCAAGCAATACTTTAATATGCTTTTTCTTTCAAAGTTAAAGAAACCTAGTAGCATGTCTGACAGGCAGGAAAGAATGTGGTTACTTTGGAGACTAAACATCTCAGGGGGGGAAGGGAGAAAAAGAGAGAGGGAGAGAGAAAGAGAGGGAAAGAGAGAAAGAGGGAGAGAGGGAGGGGGAGAGGGAGGGAGGGGGAGGGGGAGAGAGAGAGAGAGAGAGAGAGGGAGGGAGGGAGGGAGGGAGGGAGGGAGAGAGAGATCCCAGGAAAAAATCAGACCTGACAACCCTTTCCACCTCCAGGGTAGTGAGAAAGTCTATTTCCATGGCTTGAGGTACCCTAACTTTGGGATTCTGTGATAGGAACCCTAACAAACTGAAATCAGAATCAAGCCTGAGAAGATCAGCCTATATGTTCTATGGAGAATCAGTGTAAGTTAATTGTATCTGAGATTGAAAACCGCTTTCAGATAATAGAGTGTTCTTTCAAAGAAATTTCTTTAATATGCTCACTAGAGCCAAAGTCTCAGAATCAGAATCCAAAATTCAACTTCCCTTGTTTCAGAGCCCAATGTAGCATTGATTGGAGGAAAATTTATACTCAAAGGTCTGATGTAATGAAATCATGCAGAAGAGATAGGAAACAGCAGAAAAACATGTCCCTCTTACCTTACAGTGGTTGGATAGAAGTTAGCAGTATGAAAGAAAATGAGGTTAAAAACTGCCGATATGAATATTTTTGTGACCAAAACTATCAGCATTTTAGTATAATAGTAGCCCTGGAAAAAATAATAGCAAATCAACATTACAATGAGTATTTTAAAATAAACGTATCTTAAAATTATCATCTAATACTTTGATTCTCCAGTACTTTTCTGAACAATGAAGAGTTATTTTTTTCTGTTTGCATTTTTGTGTAAGCTCTTTTCATAGTCTGCAGAAACTCTGCCTCCTTCGGAAATTTAGATGTACGTTACACTATGCCTCCTCTATTCCAACCGCCCTCTTCCCCAGTCCTTGAGGCAGGCTTCCAAGCATGGACCAATTCCCCTGGTTCTTGTTTCTACTCTCCTTGGGTGTTAGTCTCATGCTATGTTTTTTTTTTCATATCCCACAAATGAATATAGTCATTCTATATCTGTCCCTTTCCTTCTAACTTATTTCACTAACAACTGCAGAGTATTTCATTATGTATGTAGGTGTACCATAGTTTCTTTAATCAGTCATGTGTTCTCAGGCGCTAAAAGCATTTTTTTCTGAATTTAGTCCTGTACTAAAGTTCCTCCCCAGCTGGGGAGTTTTTCTTTTCCTTTCCCTTCTACTCTCCGATAAACTTTTCAATTTTCTGAAAAATAACAAAAACGACAACAACAACAAAAGTTCTTTCTCTTTTCTGGGCCAAGGAGACAGCTCAACAAGGTGGAGACGTGGGTTCAATCTCCAGCACCAGCCATCTCCCAGCACTACTGGAAGTGGTCAAAAAACAAGCCCAAAAATTGTCTAGAGTTTCTGTTTACTTGACAGGGATTGGGCCACATACAGTGATATTCAGGGGCTACTCCTAGCTGTGTGCTCAGGAGAGAACATATGTGGTGTCGGGGAACTAATCGCTGTTGGCCATGTGCAAGGCAAGTGATTTACCCCTGACTCTTTTTCTGGCACTTTAAAAGTTTTATGTATATCTTCTGTCCATATCTGAATTGATCTTGAATTCAGAAATAACCCCAAAATTCTCTGATCACAAATAAAGCAACATAAAGTAACTCACCGTGGGGATGATCAGTATACCACAGGTCACTGAACTTAACCAGAGAAAAAGAGACAGAAGTTTTTTTGACCCCATAGTCTGCATTCCCAGGGCCACGAGGATGTAGGCAGGTATTTCCACAATACCTGTCATGGAGCAAATGAACATTCAATAAGCCACGGCATCAAATTTTGTACGTCTTCAAACCCAATCCCCAAAGGAATGATCAGCTTTCCCCCTCCTTCCAGGGACCTATAAGAAAGCTAAGGACTGCCTGAAAAGGAGAAAGTCTTACCACTTGGAAGCCACACAGAGGTGAGGAGGACACGTGCTGTGAAAGGCTCTAAAGCGCAGAGAATCTAGTCTGTATTGATGCCCTTCCCTCCACCTCCCCACCCCCACTGTGCTAGGACGCTCAGCTCTGAGCAGGCTCCAGAGCTCCAGGATGCAACTTGGTGTCTGGACAGGCTGACTGTGGAACCCATAAACAAGTAAACTAAGAGAGGACATTGGTCATTTCTGAATTTGGGTTTCATATGCCTGACAAAACAAGGTGAAATCTTTATATCCAGGCCTTCCACCCTGGAAATTCAAGGAAACAAATAACAACTGTCTAGGCTTTAAACCCACAGATCAACATTTTAAAACCAATCTCAATCCTGCCTTGCACCTCTTTTTACCTGCCTCTCCCCACCTCACCGCCCACTGCCCCAGTGAAAAGCAAAACAGAAGTTCCATGATTTAGAAGGACTTAGAAGTCCTATTCTTGTAGCACTGTAGCACTGTCCTCCCATTGTTCATCGATTTGCTCGAGTGGGCACCAGTAACATCTCCATTGTAAGACTTGTTACTGTTTTTGGCATATCAAATACATCACAGGGAGCTTGCCAGGTCTTGCTGTGCGGGCAATATACTCTCGGTAGCTAGCCAGGCTCTCCGAGAGGGGCGGAGGAATCAAACCTGGGTCAGCCGCGTGCAAAACAAATGCCCTAACCACTATGCTATCGCTCCAGCCCTTGAAGAACCAAAATTGGAATCTTAGGTCTGGAACATGGAGCTTTATATCAGCCAGAAACAAACAGGGAGCAATCTCAGCCACACTCAGCAAACTTTACAGTGTCCTCTGGGAAGCTTTGGTCAGTCCAAATCTTCACATGAATTGTAATTTATTATAATGTGTTCCATCCTTTTGCTACAGCTGGTCCAGCTACAAGACACTGCCTACCTCATCTGCTAAGAAAAGGGCATTTTCTTCCCTCCTACCCTGGGATGGCTGGATAAAACATACACCTGCAGAGGCAAACCTGGATCAACAGGTCTCCCTGAACTTCTGGAACACATCTCAGTGATAAATACATGTTTTCTGAGTAAATAATATTTTTAGTAGAGCATCAAAAATTCAACTCAGCTACAGAAAAAGAAAGTGGCTCCAAGAAAAAGAAAACATTCCAACCCGATCCCACAAATTTTAAAATGGAAGTTTCCCACGACATCCCCACCGAGATTCTGTGCTCCCAATAAATATCACCCCCCCAAAATTAAAATAAATAAAATTAAAACATGGCAGACATTTCACTTCATTGCAACAATCACATAGAATTTTTCAACTTACCTGCAAGGAATAAATGTAAATATTTATTTTCACTTAAACTAAGAGTTATCAAGGAGAAGCAGTAGAATCCCAAAGATGCTGTGAACCAAATCAACCAAGTAATCGCTGTTATTAGTCCCACATTCCAGTCATAAAACAGATACAGAATACTGTGAGTCTTCTTCTTAATGAAGCAATAATTAACGGGATTATTTAGATCCAATAAAAACACTTCTGACAGTTGACAGGGGGAGTTTCCGTTCCACTTTGCCATTTTATCAACTACTTCTTGTGCTTCTTTGTATCTTCCCTCTGAGAGAAGCCAGAAGGGTGTCTCTGGGAGGATCCAACAGCACAGGATGAAGGGAGATGTCACCAAGGACAAGATTATCTGATAGAGCCACCAAGTCTTCACCAGGTAGCCAACCAAAGTCACGATCATGACCCCCAGTGCAAAGGAGATGTGCAGGAAGATGGCCGCTGTGGCTCGGTACTTTAGGCCGATGATCTCCACCATGTAGACGAAGGCCACTATAAGGAAGCCACCAGTAACCTGAGAGACAGAGCAGGAGAGGGGGCCAGGGTTAAGGTCATGTTCCTAACTTTTGAGAGGCCTCATCTCCCTGGACAGCACACCAACGCCCAAGAGGAAGTAGAGTTGTTCCCTCAAACTCCTATCATCCTTAGGGCCCAAGAGACTAGTACAAGGATTAAGGTGCTAGCCTTGCATCCCATCAACCCCATTAAAAACTCCAGAACCACATACAATCCCTTGAGCACTGCCAGGGGTCACTTCTGATCACACAGCCACAGGTAGTCCCTGAGCACCATAGTGTGGCCCCAGCACCCCACTTCTCCCTTAAAAAAGGGTAAAAAACAAATCCTTTGATCTTTCCCAGTCTTTGCCCATGGGAAACACTGGAAGGTTTATCAAATATTAGACTCTTGTCCTTTGTTTTGCTTATATGCCCTTTTTAGTGGAAATTCGTGTTTTAGTTCTTTGCAATTCTCCATATTAATTATAGAATGTCCTCATTAAATCCATAATGGTTAAACAGCAGCAAGTAGTTCCCATTTCTTCTAAAAGTAATTGGAAGAAAAAGAAATTCTGACTAAAACTTAATTTTACATACAGAAGTAACTTTTAGACCCTGAAAACTATTATGGTTACCAAAGGGAAAGCGCAGGCAAGTAGGAGACTACACAGAGGGTCGTTTTGATCATATCATGGCAAGAGAACTCTGTGGTAGGTGCATAACTACCACAAGCTCCAACTATCCTGCTCTGGCCAAACACCCCCCAAAATTGGAAAGTCTTAATGAGACAGTGGTACATCCATGTTCACAACAGCTAAAATGTGGAAGCAACTCAAACAGCCAACAGTAGACAGATCATGGAAAAAAGCAAATTGTAACAGATACATAAAATGTAGGGCTGGAGCAATAGCACAGCGGTAGGGCGTTTGGCTTGCATGCAGCAGGCCTGGCTGAGCTGGGTTCGATTCCTCTGCCCCCTCGGAGAGTCTGGCAAGCTACCCGTGACGTATTCAATATGCCAAACACAGTAACAACAAGTCTCACGATGGAGACGTTACTGGGCCCGCTTAAGCAAATCGATGAACAACAGGAGGACCGTGACTGTGACATAAGATGGAAGAATAGTCAGCCTTTAAAAAGGAAGGAGAGTCTGACACGGAGCCCCACAGGGATAAAGTTTGAGTACATTGTGCTAAGTGAAATAGATTAATCACAAAAAGACAAATACTGGATGACAGGATTCACTTATACAGAATTGTCAAAGTCATAAGCAAGTATAACAGGGGTTACTAGTAGCTGTAGGTAAGAGAGAATGGAAAGTGAATATTTAATGAGTAAGAAGTTTTGGAAATGTATGGTAGTGGCAGTTACACCCAAATATGAAAGGAACCAGTCTCATTGAGCTCTGTAGCACTGTAGCATTGTCCTCCCATTGTCCATCGATTTGCTTGAGTGGGCACCAGTAACATCTTCATTGTGAGACTTTTGTTACTGTTTTTGGCATATCGAATATGCCATGGGGACCTTGCCAGGCTCTGCCCTGTGGGCGGGATACTCTCAGTAGCTTGCTGGGCTCTCCGAGAGGGACAAAGGAATCGAACCCGGGAGGAATCAAATCTGAGTCAGCTGCATGCAAGGCAAACACCCTACCTGCTGTGCTATCTCTCTAGCCCATATGCAGGTAAATGATACAAAAACAATCCAAGTAAATGTATAACTTTATTTTAATTTATTATTCCTACATTCTCTTATACTAAATTAAAAATGATGTAATTAGAGGTAAGAAAGATAGTATAGTGGGCAGAGTGTTTGCCTTGCATGCAGTTGACCCAGTTTCAACCCCAGAACCTCACTATGGTACCCAAGTTTCCACCAGGATTGAACCCTGAGTGAAGAGTCAGGAGTAAGCTCTGGACACTGCTATGTGTGGCCTGCAAACAAACAAAAAATAAATTTTAGAAAGAAAATGAATATTTTTTAAATAAAAAACTCATTGAACTCATGCTTACAAATTTTAATTCTGTATTATGTGTATTTACTACCAAAACAATTTTTGAAGAAAATTTTATTTTGAAAATTAGCTTATTTTTTGAAAAGTAGATTATAAAAATATGTTATCATTCCCTAGCCAAGATAAGTACCAGGAGGTTCACTCCATGGCTTGGAGGCCAGCCGCACATGCTAAGGGAAAAGGCAGCTCAGATAGAGAAGGGAGCACCAAGCAAAGGGTGTTGGGAGGATCCTCCCAGGATGGGTGATACATGCTGAAAGTAGGCTATAGACCGAACATGATTTCATGATTTCCACTCAATGCCTCTTTTGTAAACCACAGCACCCAAAAGGAGAGAGAGAGAACAAAAGGGAATGCCCTGCCACAGAGGCGGGGTGGGATGGGGGGTTGGGGGGGTGGGAGGGATACTGGCATCTTTGGTGGTGGAGAATGGGCACTGGTGGAGGGATGGGTACTCAATCATTGTATAACTGAAACACATGCACAAAAATTTGTAAGTCTACAACTGTACCTCATGGTGTTTCACTAATAAAAATTTAAAAATAAAATAGTTATCATTCTTGGAATAAACAAACAAATAATTCAATGATAGTGATGGGGGACAGTGAAATAATCAGAGTTATTCCTACACAATTATCTCACATTTTACTTGTATAACACAAATCATAAAGTTATTTTTTTGCAAAGATATTTTAGGGCACTACTGATTTTCCCAGAGGTGCCCTAAAATTTAGAATTTATATTAGGTGCCCTTTACCAACGAAATGGCGTGTCGGATTTCGGAAGGGAGAACGTTAGGAACGACATACCCATCCTGTGGAATTTGGTATGTCGGCAAGTGGACATGGCTATCGAAGAGATTTGAGTAGAAGTCATGGATAATCTTCTCCATTGCCATTCTGGAGGATGTGATGGATCCATCAGGACGTCGGAGGGCAGTCATCTTGGTCTTATAGTTGGCGAAGGACAGGCGGGCGTTACGAATACTTTTCCCGGCTTCTGCCGCATCTACCAGTACTTCTGCTCTTCTCTCTTTGAGGTCTTCCTTGATCGCATCTCTGCACTGCTTTGCGAGCTCGGACGTTAGCTTGTGGTTGCCTGAGGCATGCGCCAAACCACGCTGGCGAATTAGCTCAAGAGTTTTCGAAGATAGGCGACTTTTTATGGCTATCTCTCTCTTGGCGTTCCTCGCACATTCATGGAGGTGCTGAACCAGTCGATCGTATTCCTCGTCAATGTTGTCAACAATGGCATCTTCCCATGTTGCCGCAATAGTACCAAAGAGTTCCCAGTTGGTGGTCATTCTGGGAGTTCTCTTTTTGAACTTTGCAGCCCTTTCTCCCCGCTCTGTGAAGTAGAATTTTGCACGAAGGAGACGGTGGTCCGATCCCATTCGAAATTTTGGGACAACAGCGACATCAGTCAGGCAAAACCGTCGATTGAATATGATGTGGTCTATTTCGTTGTGGAATCGTCCACCGGGAGACTCCCATATCCATCGTTTAGATTCTGCCTTCTGGAACTGTGAGTTACCATGAATGGTCTTGGTCGACATGATGAACTCAGACAGTCTCTCACCCTGTTCTTTCCATTCTAGGCCATGGGTCCCGATGTGAAGTTCTTCAGCTGATCTTCTCGGTCCTATCTTGGCATTAAAATCACCCACAATGATCTTGTAGAAGGTGTGGTCTTCTTTATAGAACTTCTCTAGCTCCATGTAGAACTTCTCGATTTCTCTTTCATCATAATGAGATGTTGGTGCATAGACAACGAAGATAGAAACTGCAGGCAGTGAGCCACATCTATTCAAATGTAAACGTCCGATTCGGGTTGTTAGGCATTCGAATGAATCAATGCTCTTGACCAAGTTTGTGTTGACAAGGACACCGACGCCTCCAACACCTCTTTTATCGCATGTTCCGAGGAACAATTCTTCTCCGGTGTCGAAAACGGCATGGTGAGATTCGTGCCTTCTTGTCTCGGTCAGACCAATGATGTCGTACTTGATCATTCGCGCTTGTACCATCAGGTCCTCGATGGATGCATCTGATGCTAGTGTACGTGCATTGAAAGTACAGACGATCATTTTTGTCTTCCTTCGTTGTGGCAGCCTAGGTCGGCCTTGAGATTTTGTCGGCCTCTCCTTTCTCATCCTTCTCAGTGCTGCCATGTCGGTGAAGCCTTCAGGGTCAGGTGAATGAGACCAGTTGTAGTTACTGGTTTTGGCATATCGAATACCAAAGAAGCAAACAGCACCCGGCCCAGACAAGGTCAGACCTGAACACCTGAAGAACCTGCCGTCAGTACTCATCAATACACTGGCTCGGCTCTTCACTCGCTACCTGTCTGAATGCAAGGTTCCGTCCCAATGGAAAACCAGCAGGACCGTACTACTGTTCAAGAAGGGAGACATCCATGACATTGGCAACTATCGCCCGATCTGCCTATTGTCTGTCATCTACAAGCTGTTCACTCGAGTCATCCTGAATAGGATTGGCAGAACACTAGATGAAGGACAACCATGCGAGCAAGCAGGGTTCCGCAAAGGATTCAGCACCATCGACCATATCCACACGGTAACCAAGCTCATTGAGGTTTCTCGGGAGTTCAAGATGCCGCTCTGCTTAACGTTCATTGATTTAAAGAAGGCCTTTGATTCTGTTGAGACGGAAGCGGTCATTGAAGCCCTAGCCAATCAGGGCATTCAAGCCCAATACATCAGGATCCTCCGTGAGCTGTATTGCGGATTCACTACCAGGATCTCACCATTCTACAAAGAAGTGATCGTTGATGTCAAGAGAGGGGTGCGGCAGGGTGATACCATTTCACCGAAACTCTTCAGTGCCACCCTCGAGAACATCATGCGACGACTGGAATGGGAAGGAATGGGAGTGAAGATAGATGGTCGGCAACTACACCACCTCCGCTTTGCTGATGACATTGTTTTAATAACACCAAACATCAGCCAAGCGGCACAAATGCTGGCCGACTTTGACCGTGAGTGTG